ATAATTTAACCGAGTTCGTTTCTTCAATAATAACCAAGTTACCTCTGGTTAGCAAAATAGACACACTGTATATTTTTGTACGACCCTGTATAATATGTTCTAAGTATGTTTTCACATGCGTCATAATTGTAGTATTTGTTTCGAAAAGAAATACTGACATCAAAAGCTATATTTTATATAAAATCGCATAACTCATGAAATCATAGTGGGCTGCGATATTAAAAAAGTCTCAAAAACGTCCCGAAGTACTAAGGTACTCTTCTAAACTGAATACCAAAAATTTACTTAACCCTCCCTCCAGCAGAATGAGGTGAACCCAAAGTTTCGTAAAGAAATCGCCAGCTTATGTTTCCCCTGTATCTTTCAGCAGGTGGACGGAAAGATGTTAGCAAATGGAAATTAATTAGCAATTTGAGCAGCCTTTCACTCCTGAAAATTTAAACAAAATCGGCTTGCTAGATTTTGAGTTATGGTCTTACAAAAAGTGACCAAAAATTGGGGTGTTCGAGTTCGGTTGATGTGTGGAAATTCACCTGACCGTCATTCTACCGCTTGCACATTCAAAAACGCGATGCATACACATTGATGTTTTTGTTCGCGCGCTTATGTCCGTGTGTCCGTGTGTAACCGCCTTAAAGGCGGTTACACACGATCGTGTATGTCTGAAAACATGTACGCACATACATGAACGCGCAAACAAAAACATCAATGTGTATGCAAAATACCGTCACGTTTTTGAATGTGCAAACTGTAGAATGACGCTCAAATGAATTCTGGAATCGCTAGAAATTTTGTATGCACACTCGAAATACTGTAGCAAGAGTAGCAAGACTGACAGTTTTGTGTGAACGTCTGTACAAAGATGACATGCATGTTGTTGTTCGCACGTTGATGTATACACGTATATGTATCAAGCCATCCACGTCCGTGTGTAACCGCCTTTACACACAAATCCTGGTACCTACCGTTCTTCATTCATACTTTCTCTCATTAAAATTACCAGGTCAGTCTACCCATTCCGATAAATAACCCCCCCCTCCAAACTGTCACGCCACCACCACCAAAAGCCTCTCTTACTTCCATGCATTCTTTTCTGTAGCTCTCACGCGTTTCTTTACATACTAATACACGCCCGTCATTCTGATACAGCGTGAATCTGCATTCATCCACAAGCAAACATCCCTACCATTCAGCTACTCCCCCCAGTGTCCATTATCTATGAATATAAGCCCAGTTTATTCGTGCTCTTCGATGGACTGCTTTTAATAATGGACATGCTGCCTGGCTCTTAAATTTCTCTCATGGAGACGTCTTTGTTGATTTTGAGGCTTCAATTCCTAACGCGATCCTTATTCGCAAAGAATTGAGAAGTTCTGTTTTGTCGCACCGGTAAAAGAATTCTGTCGTCATCCCGGACCGAAGTAATTCTTGGTTTACCACCTGCAATGTCTATAAGCAGCGGTGCCAGTGTTAAACCTCGTTTTATTGTCCATAAAATTGCGCGACTTTGCCCTAATTTAACCGACCTCATATCTTTAGTAATAACCAAGATACCTCTGGTTAGAAAAATAGACACACTGTATATTTTTGTATGACCCTGTATAATATGTTTTAAAGTGTGTTTCCATATGCGCCACAATTGTAGTTTCTGTTTCGAAAGAAATAATGAGGTGAATAGCTATATTTTACATAAAATCGCATAATTCAAGATAAAATCGTAGTGGGCTGCGATATTCAAAAAATCTCCCGAGGTACCAAGGCACTCTTCTAAACTGCATACCAAAAATCTACTTAACTCTCCCTCCAGCAGAATGGGGTGAACCCAAACTTTCGCAAAAAAATCACCTACTTATGTTTCACCCTGTATCTTTTAGCAGGTGGCCGGAAATCTGTTAAGAACTGGAAATTAAATCGTAATTAGAGCATCCTTTCACTCCTAAAAATTTGAACAAAATCGGCCTGCTAGTTTTTGAGTTATACCTTTTCAAAAAGTGACTAAAAATTGGGGTGTTCGAGTTCAATTGACGCGTAGTTTATTTGGGTATAATTTTTGAACTTGTTCAGGATTTATAAATGATTTTGTGGAACCTTTATCTATTAAAATTTTTAAATTGTGTTCTGGGAATGTAATGTAGGGCAGCTCGCTTGTAGCAGCATTATTTAACGATATTATTTCGGGGTTTAAGTTTGGGGATTTTCCGAGGCATGATTCAGAAAATTTGCTATCTCGTAAGAGTAACCAGTTGCATTATTGTCATCAACAGACTCAGCATATTGGGGGTTATAATTATACTCAGAATCATATAGTTGGTCTGTTGGTCAAGATTAGATTCTGGGTCACTTTCGTTAGTATCAACATGAGGTTCGTTGACGTCATCAACTACGTTCGTGTTTATAGCTCTTCAGCCATGAAATTACTCGGTTGGTTGGACTGGAAATAATTTCTAGAAGGTTATTGAGCATTGGCATTAAAAGTTTGTCTCGAAGTTGTTGACATAGGAGTAGGTTTTTAGAAAGTTCTATTTTGATTGAGTTTAAATGCATTTATTGAGTTTGTGTTGGGTTTATTTTTGAATACTTGGGAATTCTTTGGGAGTCTTTGTGGGATTTTGTAATAATTTGGTTTTAAAGCAAAAGGCTGAATGGAAATGTTGGTTTAGCCGTAAATAAATTGTTAGATGTTCGGCTATTTTATCTTGGTTTGAAATGTGTGTTTGTAAATTGTGTGTTTGCTTCGTTGTGTTGTATGGTTTTTTGTGTAGGTATGAGGTATAGAAAAACTCCAAAAATTATGAGTGCGGGTCTAAAGGAGCAAGCTAACAAGTCAATAAATAAAATAGCATCGTGGTTGAGGAAAAATAGATTGTCACTAAATACAGGGAAAACTAATTGTATGTTATTTAGCACGTATAATGACAAAGTTCCTGATAGTCTTATAGGTTAGTTATTCATGATCAGGATGGAGAATGTAACATGTGTAGCTGCAGACCATTGGAATGTACTAAGTACTAAGTACTTAGGTGTTATAGTGGATAATAACATGAAATGGAAGCAACAGTTAATTGGTTTAAGTAAGAAAATAAGATATTTAATCTTTGTTTTTAAAAACCCTGTTGGTGATCTTCTATGCCCTATTTGAATCTGTGGCTATATATGGTATAGTCTCTTGGGGATGTGCATATAACAATGTGCAAAACATACAGAATAGAAATAATTAAAATAATTTTTGGGATAAGAACTGCGAGCCTAAACCAAATCTATAAAAATAGGATGATATTGACGATTAGACAAAACTACCATTATAAATCATTAATTACAAATTATGACTCCTTGAAAATTCAATATTTATATAGACAAACAAACACCAGAAACCGAAATATTTCATGCATACAAACACTATTGGAGGTGGATAAAAAGTCATCCGAAGTAAATGCTATTAAACTTTCCAATTTATTACCAAATGATCTAAAAAATAATTATAAAACAATCAATAACAGATTTAAAAATATTATGAAGACATTTTTAATAAACGAGAACATCACCCATTTATGAAATTTGCAATTTTGTACCTCATTACATTTTCACATTAATTATTATTGATCCATGAAACATTAAGGCTATGGTCCGAATATAACCAAACGTTAACCAAAGTGACCGAATCGGTTGACAGATAGTTACTGAAAATTGTGGTTACTTGGGGAACGCGAATATGAAATAAGTAAAAGATAATTGACAAAAATTACAGATGAAACCAACAGAACCAACATTTGATGGCCGGTAGCTATTTTGACATTTGGTTAACCAGATTTCAGGAAACCGAGGTCCAAAAGTAACCACTTTTCCAGGAACCAGAGTATTCTGATTACTTTCGGACCGTGAAACCATAACCCTGGTTATATTCGGACCACAGCCTAAAACTTGTGGTTTAAGTAAGCATTTTTAAGTCATTTTAGTTTCTAGGGTAACTTTAGTTTAAGTACCAGGCCTGCTTACAGACGCATGTGCGCCTTATGCAGGATATACATATGTATATTTTATATGTTTTATACAGGGTGTCCCCGTTCAACTGATCAAAAATGCTAGGGTATTTAGAGGAACCATAGAGAAGTAGTTTGAGATAGGACATCGATGGTCGGAAGTGCGTCGTTTCCAAAATACAGGGTGTTGAAATTTAAACAACCCCCTTTCATATCATCTGGAGGGCTAATGCTAGGCTGTTCAAATTTTCAGGGATTATTGATGTAGGATTGGTACCTATTTAAAAATTTGTATAATGCGCCCCGCCCCTATTTTCTACCTGGAGCCACCCCAAAAAAAAAAAAAAAATGAAATAAATAAATAAAAAATAAAAAAAAAATATTTGTTTTTTGGGTGGTAGACTTTGGTTCCAGGTAGGAAATGGGAGTTCATTATACGAATTTTTAAATTATTAGACCTGATATAACTAATATGATTTCAAGATTATTAAAAAAAATATATACATTTTTGTAAAGTAGAAAAATAAGGCTTCCTGATGATAACAAAATATACAGGGTGTTTCATTGAAAATAAGGTTATACATTTTATTTCAAAAAAATCGTATGCCTGTAAAACCAAATTTCAGCAAATTTCAGGATATGACAATACTGTGAAAAAAAAAAACTTCAAAAAATTCTCATTCTCCCAGAAAAATCCGCATCTCGTGATCTTTTTTCGTTTTTGAGATACTTAGCTGCAAAATATGTCAGTTTATCTAAGGACCCTGTATATTTGGATTCCCACGTTTACCTATAATAAACTATCAATAATTCTTTCAGGTGAAAGTTCATCTGCCTCAGAGGACGGGCAAAATAGCAAAGAAGACCCAACTGAATATATAATCGTCAGCCCTAATAGGAGTACTTTAACAAAAAGTAGCCTGGGTTCACCTCGGTGTGATAGTTCTGTAGATAGTGGTATCGCTGAATCGCCCACAAATTCAAAAGGAGTAAAAAAGCTGCAGTTCACAGTAGCAGCAATTCATGAATTCGAAGAAAGTACGTTGGAAAAAGCGTTCCGTCAATCGAGAAAGAATTATGAGGGGCGTCAGAGTTTTAGAGCTAAATATTTCGAGGTTGGTAAATACTTAGTTGTATCTGGATTTAGGATTGCTCAGAAAAAAAAAAAAATTGTTACAGATGCCTTCTCCTCAAAAAGTGGAAATTAAACCTGCAAAATATTCTGAGGAAAGTGTTAATTACGTGAATCCATACGATGTTGTACCAATCCCCACAAATTATTCACTTCCTTATGGCCATGCTAGTCCTCCAAAGCCTCCACGAACTGCAAGGAAATTTCAAAATGCGGCATTTGATAAGTATATCAATTTACGTCCATCTAAGGTAATTAAATGATCATTTAAATTTTATGATTTATATAATTTTTTCCACAAATTCCAGCAAACATCTACTCCGGAACTAACAAATATTCCACTGACATCTTTTCCATCAATAGATTCTGATGGAGTAAATATGGGTAGGTCAAAAGCAACGGAACCAGTATACGCCAAAGTTACCCCAAAGAAACTAAGACAATCAGCATTACAATCTTCTGTTTTTGTGCCTAAAAGTGATACTGAAAGTCCAGCAAGCTCAAAAACAAGCCTTACCGTAAATTCTTACTCGCAGGATTTCACACCAAAAGCTACATCGTCACGCAACGATATTCTGGAATCTGAGATGAAGGATTCGTCGAGAAATTGGCCTGAGCAAGACGATTTACCAAAAAACCAAAGTCTTTCAAAAACCGCTGTGGAAAAGAAATTTGTAACAAACATATTTGAAAGCAGACCATCTAGAAGATGGGAGAAGCATGTGAAAAATAGCAATGGAAGCTTTCAAAAACGGACTTTTATTAGGATGAGCTTAGATTCGAGAATATTGGCGAGGAAAAATCTGGAAAAGGAGGATCTTGAATCTAAAAGCTTGGCTGATATAAATAAGAATATTGAGAAGCTGGAGATAGAATCCAAGAAACTTAAAGTGGAAACTAACGTAAGTATGCGGGCTCAGATTTTTTTTCAATGATTAAAAAATAACTCACTAGCGCATATTGTTTTTCAATATTCATTTCATTTAATTTTGATCAACCTGGCTCAAGTTTGATGATGTAGATATGATATTTTCACTTTCACTAACTTTAAATCTTTCTAGTTTAATTAACATTTATTTTTTTTTATGTAGAAGCTCAAAAAGCAACTACGACGAACCAAAAGGGACTCGGTTCCAGAGAAAAAAAACGATGTTCAGGATTTCAATAAAGATGAAATGGGAAATAGCCATGAAGATTTGCATCAATACAGCAAATACTTAGATTTGAAACGTTTCAGAGATATTGAATGTTCTAGAATAACACAAGCATCTGGAGCTATCAGAGAAATTAGGCATGTCAAAAATAAAACTGATTGGAAGGATGTATTGTTTTTGGAAAAAATTCTTCTGGAAAGCAGTAAGTATTAAAATTTCAAATTATTTGTATAATTGACTAATACTTATTATTTGTTTTAGGCGAACGAGTCAACCTTTTAACACAACAAATTAATGATAACATTTATTCAGTCATACCAGAACCTGCATTACATAAAGGAACTATACACCTTTCCAACATCAAATTTCCCTTCTCAAAAACAAAAAACCACAAAGTAGACAAACATTTTACAAGATTTTTCATCATGACAATATCTGATGGGTCTAAGCTGTTTATTTCTGATTTCATATCGGAAAAAGAGGGCACTCTGAGCTTTAACAATACGTATATTTTTGAAGAAGTGGCACCTGATTTTGAATTGAAAGTGAAGCTGTTTTGTGTTAAATTGAGGACGTCCCATCAATTTTTTTGGGTAAGATTTTTTGTTGTTTTGTTATCATTCTAGGCTAAACCCCTTTGGTTCTGAAAATATTATTGACGGTATAGATTCCTCTACCTCAGTATTTTTGTTCCTATTCTAGCAGACTCTCCATTGTGCTTAGTTCTAATCTAATTTCTTAACTTTCTTTTGGCTCTTGAATTTTTTCATTCAAAGTTCTTGAATTCTCAGTATTCCCGTATTTTAGAATTTCATGCTCTTGATTTGTTTTTCAATTTTTACTTCTGGCTTTTCTAATGTTTTTCTTTCAAAATGAATTTCGCGAATGCTCTCGTTTAAGAGAAATCAATAATTTAAGACACTAGCGTTTGCAAGAAACAAAAATAGAAAGTATTAAAATGAGTATGTAACAATAATGAAATGCTAGTCCTGAAGACGTGTTTAGGCAGACGTCTGAAAGACGGTGAGTTTTGCCACATACGACGTCTTCAAGATGTCTTTAACACGCCTTACGTCTCTAAGATGTCTCTATGCTGTCTGGGAACTTTAGCTTCATATTCAATATTGAAGGTAATATATTTTTTTTTAGGAAAAACTCGGTGGATGTTCGGGATGCCAAACATCAAAAATCATCTACGAAGATCAACTGACAAGGCAGTACAAAGAAAAAACTGTCCTAAAATCCTCATTTAAAACTTTTGCCGAAGTGAATTTAAGCAGTGCACAAATCAACGACACCTCGGCAAAAATCAATGCGGACCCGCAGATTTTCAACGGGTTAGATGGAGTGATGGAGTACAACCTCAAATGCACCGACATCAATATATCAGTGAGTCTCTCTGATTTCCTAGATGTAGGAACGTTGTTAGGAGAAACATATTTTTGGGAGAGAAAATGGTGTGTCTTGAAGGGGCCAAATCTTGCAATCTACAATTACCCACAAGATGAACATTTTGGGAAACCGGTCGAACAAATAAATTTGGAATATTGTTTTGGACCAATTATCACCAAAGTAAGATTATATTTTGAAATATTTTGTATGTATAAATTTAAAATTCATTTTTTAGATTGAGAATTGTCCTCGAAGAAGATGCTTCCAACTAAGAACAGGCAGACCCAACGATGCTGGTCAAAATTCGCTCAGGTCCAACCTGAAAAGCAAACCAAACTTCGCCTTGCAAAAGTTCTTCTTTGCCACACGAAATAAAATTGAATATCTTCAATGGACTGTAGAAGTTGAAAAACTCCTACACTCTTTGTGTTTTTTTAAGAAGCTCGTTTTTTATGGAGAATATGAAGTTGTTTAAATTATTTTAGTATTTTACATTTGATGTTCCATCTTCAAATTCAACTCGGTTATTGGTTTGAAAGTTTCGAGGAATGATTTTGAGAGGTGATTTTAATTATTTTATTGTTATTTTATTTTAGACTTGCGCTGTATATTTTGTTTTTACTTACACCAATCTACCTCAGAATTATTGTATGTATAAAAATATTTTTTAGATTTTATATTGTAAATATAATATACCTAAAATACATTTATTTTGAACTTAATTTGTTTTTTTCCCTGTTTTGCAACCAAGTTTCTTACAACCCCTCTAACCTTCCATAATGTTAGTATGAATAATTGTTATCTGATTATATAATTTTGTATATTCTCGTATAAATCTGCATTCGTAGTTGCTCGATCGAGTGTAAGCCACTGGTTTCACCCTGTTTCTTATAACTCCCTCAACTTTCTATGTTAGTACGAATCTAATCCCATGTAGAGTTTTTGAATAATTGTTATCTGATTATATAATTCTTTATATTTTCGTATAAATCTGCATTCGTTGGTCGATCGAGCGTAAGCCACTGGTGTCACCCTGTTTCTTACAACCCCCGTAATCTTCCATGCTAGTATGAATTTAATCCCATGTACCTAGTTTTTGATTACAGTAGAACCCCGATTATCCGAGTCGCAATTATCCGAGCTCTGGATTACCCGAGCCAATCTAAGGACCCAAAGATCCCAATTATCCGAGGTACGCGTCTATACTCTGTATTAACCGAGTTTCTAAAATATGCATATAATGTACACATATTTCTATTTAAAATCATCGGGCCGACGAGGACTCCTATTGGTTCGTGTAAATGGTTCCCCTATTTATATTTTTGGACTCTTCTCACGTTTTAGGTGGTTTCCGTGCTCGGGTGGAACGTCTATCTTCGGTTCTTGCTCGTTGGTCTTCACTCTGTTGGCTCTAGTGCTTTGTAGCTGTGGTCTCCTTTGCAAAGTTGCTTTGTGGGGTTCTGGCCGCTTTGCTCGTTGAACCTGCTAGATAAATTGACTTTAGTGTTGGTCATTAATGTTGATGGTACGTCTGTTGTGTCATCACTTTCTTGTAGCAGTTCGTCACTTAACCTACAGTCTTGAAAGTCGTTTTCACTAGAACTGTCACTCATACTGTTCATAGTGGTGTCTGAGATACATGGTTGGCCCTTGGTTATGGAGGTACTTTCTGAGTTATGAGTTATGGGCGTGTTTTTCATATTAGTAACATTGCTATTTGTCTTGTCGGGGTTATAAGGTACTTTTTACACTGTGTGTGTCTTGTCATTGGGTTTTGTTGCTTCTTTAGCGTTGTTGTTCTCTGTTTGCCTGGTTTGCATCTTCTGAAGCTGGTTTGCATGTTTTTGTTGTTTTTCCAATTCTTTGGTTTATTTTTCCTTCAGTCCATTGTGGTTTGTTTATGGTTCAATAGTCCTTATAACCATCACTGTGTCCCCTTTTAAAAATTCCCTTCTTCTTCCTGTTCCGTAGTCGTTTGCTTGAATCTCTTGTGCTTTTTGTATCTTTTCTGGTACTTCTGTTCTGTTGGCGGATTTTCTGCTGAATTTCTTAGCAGATCAAATCGTGATTTGATTTTCCTTCCGAACATAACTCCTGCTGGAGATTTCCTCGTCGAAGCATGTTCCGCCAATCTCTAGCTGAACAATATTCTAGAAACTATGTTGGGTGTAGTTTCATTTCGATTCATAGGGTCAGACATAGCTCTGTTTTCAGCTTGTGTTTAAAATTTTTACCATATTCTCGGCTTGGCAATTACTTTGGGGAAGATAAACAGGTGTTGTGATATGTTTTATAGGGGAGAAGTGTCATGAAAGGGACGCGTATTGAAAGGGACACCTGCAATTTAGGCAACTCTTATTACTTTAATAACTCTCCCAGCTGGTGTACGTGATGCCCCCACCACACAAATATTCTGCACCATAGCGGAAAACGATTTAGTACGCTCCAGAACAATTTTTGGCTTCTGTGGGCCTATTTTTGAAACCGGGGAGCGGCGATCTCACAAGAGCGATTGCTCTGTCTTTGTCAGTGCTATGGAAATATAAATAAGTGCGACTAAGGGTGGGTATTATAAAACTACTTTGAGAGTTAACTTAAAGTTAACTTCTGGAATTACATGTAATTCAAAAAGTTAACTTCAAGTTAACTGTCAAAGCAGTTTTATAATACCCGCCTTAAGACTGCGCCTTTGTTCTCGTGAGAACGCTGCTCCTCTACTGTTTCAAGAATAGGCCCAGGTGGTTTTCAACGGGCAATTATGTCGTGTGTTTTCTTACGATTATATCACCGTAAGTACTGAAATATACTGAATTTCCAGTAAATTTATTGTCAACGTAGGTTTTAATTGTTTACGCTCTATAACGTGTGATGGAATTTGCAAAATATTCAATAGTTTTTTTGTACTGAGTTGATTTTGAAGAAATCATCCACAGGTGATGAAAGGGACATATCGTTCGGTGCTGAAAGGGACGTGTCCCTTTATCCATTACTTCTTTTTTTTATAAAATGAATTCCAATAATAGTAAAATATTATACGTTCAAAAAATAGGCTTTTTATCCTTTCCTATTGACTTGTCATATTACAATGGAGTTGAATAGTTATAACCCTAATAACACAGTAACATCGCAGAAACATTCCAGAAACATCCATCAGGGATAATGAAGACGTCCCTGGGAGGTCCCTATTTTCCTGGGGACATCCCTGGGATGTTGCAGGCAACAGCCGTGTCATCATTTGCGATGTCCTATAAACATCTCTCAGGGATGTTTCTAAGATGACGCGGGATGTACCTAATACATCCGGGGCAGGTGTAAGAAACATCCTCTATATGTTTCTAGTATGACTTTAATAGGTGAATGAATTTTAGGATTATGGATTAAAAATTACCTAATTCAATAATTTTCAATTTTCGTTCTATTTTCTGGAAGTCAGAACTTTTTCCAAAAAAAAAACAAAAATTGAAAATTATAAAATTAAGTAGGCACATCAGTTTCCAATAACATTTTTTATTGAAAAAATAAGGTACATGTATACTTATATTGATTATCTATCAACTAATAATAATCGACGGACAATTTTGCCTAAATAATGTAGTATTTATGCCCCGTCATGTCATCGAAAACCATAGTTTGGCAGTGGCAGCATGTTGTAGTAGGGGAGTTCGGCGTTTTCTTTTTTTGTTGGTGCTCCAATTTCATAAAGGTACCATTATCTAACCAAAACAACCACAGAACCAAAATCCAAAGTTCTTGAAGTACAATTCAACTTGCACACCTAGAATGTAATCAACTATGAAAACAAAAAATAATTATTGGTTATTTTCTCTTACCTAATGAAGAATGAAGTTCGGGTTTCTAGGGGCTATTTATCAGAAAAGTTAGAAATTTCCTAACCGACGCCATATTGAAATTAAATAAACTAAGCAATTGATAGTTATGCGACGTTATCTTTCAACAAATAATCTTTCTCACCAACTAATAAGCACTGGTAGGTCGCAGAGATCCTTTCGAACACAAAATGGCACAACTAGGTGTAGCGAAAAACCACAAATTGACAAATCCTCCACACAGCACGACGCCATTACGAAATAAAATTCCGCCCAACAACACAAGCGTAGCGCACAGGACGACCCGTTCGACTGATTCTGCCCGTCTGCGCTGGCTGCGGCGCCGACCCGACGTGGTGGCGTGCCCTCCTGTCCTGACCGGTACAAGTACAAATGCCTGAGCACGCGCCTGCGCCTTACACTTCGGCTTCACGAATATTCACGATGTTTGAAAGTTGAAAAGAGAGAAGACTTATTTTATCAATACATATTTTATTTTATTCCAAGTTGTAAGTCGAATGAAAAATTAAATATTGCTGTTGTTACAATACAAAATTAATATTAAGTTCCTTATTATCTATATACATTACAGGTATATTATGGAATTTGAAATTAGTTTGTGTGTGTGATAGAGACATTTTCAGAAATCACACAAAATTGGCAAATTTAATACTGGGTCCTACCGGTCTGAGGTCCTACCTAGTTTTGTAAAATAATGTTAGCCATTTTTTAGCTGTAATAAGTATCTAATTTTGAGAACAAAAAATCTTTTTGTCGATAGATATTTACGAAAGGATGTTTCTAAAACATTTCAGGACAATCATCCTAGAGATGTTACATTACAAACATCGCAGCGATGTACCATTTATGTCGGAAACATAAGGACCTTAATGGTACATAAATAGGATGTTTCTGGGAGATCGGTGTTATTAGGGAAGAAGTGTCAAACTTGATGTTTTTTCTTATAAATACATGTTTTTTTTCCCCTCCTTGTGAATGTCCAGTGGGAATCATTGCAATTGGCACCCCTTGTAATGTGTCAAATCTGACACACAGTAATAGCAAAATGCTGCACTAAATAGATTTATTGGTTAGAATTTTGACTTGATACGAGGGATTTTAAAGAGTGTGTGCCACTTGCAATGATTCCGACTGTCGCTTTCAATAATTTTGTTGTCCCTTTCAATACATATGTGGTTATGAAAGCGACAAATTCCATTTTTTTTTCTAAATTATACTTACCGACACTTCTTGTTGTAATAGTATATTACATGCGGAGGTGGAAAGTGTTTCATTATTGTCGAGAGATACAATGGTTGACCGAGGTGCGAAGCGCCGAGGTCAACCAATTCTCGAGACAATAATGTGGAAACTTTCCACCGAATTATGTATACTATTTTATTTTGAACCATTATTTATTGAAAAAATAAGGTAAAATTATGACAAAAATGGAATTTTGTCTAACTTGACGCTCAGCCCCCTGCCAAGAAAACGCACCACCATAAAAAAATTTAAAAAAAAAGGCGCCCCTTTAATATCTTGGATCCCTACCAAGAGGGGCTCCCATTTTCTAAAAGTGAGCGGTATGTTTTTTCTGCCACAAAGTTAGTTCTATTATCAGTCACTACAATTTTGGGTAATCCAAATCTGGCAAAACATTCTCTGAATTTTTCTCGGTTTTTTTTTTTATTTTAAGGATTTAC